TTATGCATGACATAATACTAGAATAGCCATAGTAATTATGTAATAGTCCTATGTATAAAAATGTATAAATGTAACTTCTTTTAATGACTTAATAAAATAACAAATTTCACGACGAATCTTAAGACAAATCTTTTGAATAGATTGTTATAACAGTGAAGTTATAAAGAGTTTTAGGGAAAACTATCTTGAGACTCATCCAAATCTTTTATGCCTCTGCCTTGATTTTGTTATTGTTTTGTGTGTGTGATAGAAGGACAGACTCTTCTATCTGCAGGTTATGCGAGCTTTTGGTCATTAGCGACAGACTCACTGATTAGCCTGCTACATTATGAAGTAAAAGGATCTAAGCACTTCATTTCTTCTTCCTTTCAAAACTTTTTAACCATTGATAAGAAGGGTGTTTTATGGCTTGAATCACTGAAAGTCATGTTTTTGTATGAAGAGAAATGTTTACAAGAGGAAGAAAAGTATGGTAGCAACTCTTGAGTTTATTCTCAAGTTGATTTAAGGAAAGTGTTAAAACTTTTTTAGCAAAAAAGTATAATATCTTCTTGCGAACGTCTTTTTTATGTATGGTCAGAAAATTAGTAAAAAGAATATTTCTATGAAATAAATCTATAATATTTTATAGACTTTCATAAAGTGATTAATTCATCTTTATACAAAAGTATTCTAAGTCAGATTTTGGAGACAATATTACATTTCCCTAATAAATTGATAATAACCTCTATTTACTAGAATTATTGCCAACAGTTGGTCATTGTTGATTGCCTGAAAACCAATGAATTACTAAGTTAAAAAAGGGGAAAAGGAAAAAAAATTTGGGAAAAGATGGTAATTTAAGGCCCTCCAAAAAATCTAAAAATAAAAAAAATCTCTTTTCAAAAAGAATCTACCTGATTAGAATAGTCTTTTTGCTTCACTTGAACCTTGAAAAAAATCTTCTTTTTTACTATCTGTGATATTGAATGAGTCAATCCAACTAGTCTTTTATTTAAGTGAGTACTGGATTGGAATATCTTAAAGAAAGTATTTAGACCTCAACCTTTTTTCATTAAAGCTTTGTCACTATTTAAAGAACTTAAATAAGAAATAGAATTTTATAATTCATATTACCTATTACTTAATTTTTTGATGTCATGAAAATCTTCATTATGGGACTTGAGCTTTTGAAAGCAAATTTTTCTGGAACTTTTTTTCTAATCATTAATAATATCATTAGAACACATGAATATGACCAATAGAAGCTTATTTACATTTCAAAAACTAATGTGTTTTATATCAGACAATCACTTTTAATAAGAATTTGTGTTATCTAAAATTTAGGATCAAATTGAGGTAGGCAAAATTCTTTAGAAAACCATGAAAGTGGAAGCTCTAAAAGGGTTAAAACAGTCAAAAAAAAGAGAAAATAAGTCTTTTTACTGTAGAAAATTGCTATAAACCTCTTATTTCAAAGATTAGATAGACCTTCAAATACTTTACAATCAGTTCTTCTTTCTTTGAAAACTTTCTTGCCATTGGTATCAAAGGTGTTATTTGACTTTTCTTAATCACTAGGAGTCAAGTTTTTGAGTAAAAAGAATTGTAAACAAAAGGGAAAGGATAAAGATAACTCTTGAAGTCATACTTCAAATTGTTTTAAGAAAAGTTTTAAGACTTTTTTTGTATGTGGTTAGAACATTAGCGAAAAGAATTATTTTTATTAAAATTTATATTATTCAAAAATATAAAATTTAATTAAAATAAGAAAAATTTTTCAAAAAAACTATAAAAAATATATATAGTAGTTATAAAAAAAAAAAAAATAAATAAATAAATAAAAGAGTTTTAAGATTTGAATTTAAATATTTTTTTATTATATATTTATTTCAAAAAAGAATTTTTGATATCATATTATTAATTTTTTTTTTATAAAACTTTTTTATTATTAATAAAAAAACTTGTTTCTTGATTTTTTATCTAAGAAATTGAATTTTTAAATAAAAGAAATACTGTAAATATAAATGAAAGAGAAAGTAATTTTTAAATATATTTTTTAAATTAATTAAAAATTTTATCAATATAGAATTATAAAATTTTTTATAAATATTTCTTATATATTATCAAGAAATTAGTAAAAAAAGTTTATTTAATTTTTATTTTTTAAAAATTTTATTTTTATATATAATTTTATATTTATATATTAAAAAAGTTTTTTTTTTGAAATAATAATAAAACATAAATAATATTAGTAATTTACTTTATTATATATTAAATTTTTTTTTACTGAATAAATATGATTGAATTAATTTATTAAATTTTAATTTATTTTATTTTTTAAAAAAAAATTTATTGATTTAATCTTAATTAAGATTAAATATTAATAATAATGGAATTAAAATAATTCAATATCAAAAAAAGTAATATTTTTAAAAAATTCTTGTTATATGTAATTAATAGATTTTAAATATTATAAATATCTTTTATTTTAAATTTAAAATAAAATAAAATAATTAAATATAAAATATAGAATATTCTAATTCTAATATAATTCTATAAATATAACATATGATAATATCAATAGTATGACAATAATAAATATAAAAATAATATATAACAATATGTATTGTTATAACATGATGCATATAATAATAATATTGATGTATCATATGATAATATATAATAATAATCATTATACATATAACTTTATTACTAAAAGAAATTTATTAAATAAGTTATTTTCTGTATTAGTTCATTGATGTATATATAGTAAAATGGATAAAACCATGCATATTATTTAAGTGATCACATAAATTTGCATATCTCATATACCTTTAATGTAATTTAGGAGAGTGGAAAAGGAAATTGATAACAGGTTTTTTTGAAGTCACCGGCGTCACAGAATAGAATGTACATGCCCGAGTTCCGATTCTAATTTTATCATGCATTTCAACCAGTTAGGCAGTATGCATAGGTTGACTATGGAAATTACCAGCGCAAACTGCATCGTAATTATCCATAAATTCTTAATATTGTGAGCACAAAGGATAATTGTAGAACGATAATAATTTCGCTGCATCCGTGCTTAATAGTGGTGGTGGTATTGTTTTGAATAATATCACAATATACGTGCTGAGAAAAATACTAAAGTATTTAATTGTTAACTGTTACAGTCCTAGTTCACAACCGACTGCGGCATTTTTAATAAATATAGAATAATTTACTACGTACAGTACATAGAATAGTTTATAGTGGAAAGGTCATTAAAAGTAATGTGAAAACGCAGACCACGTTGTTATTGACAAAAAGAACGTTGATTCATCTTATGGATTGGTTCCTTTTAGCGGTTCCTATTCGTCGATTCCGAAGTAATGTAATTAATGCTGCCGGAAATAAGCAACTAATGATGGATAAAATAGGACAAGGTCGTAATTATAAAAATTTAGAGGGACATATTAGGAGAAGAAAAAAAAAATTTTTTTTTTTTTTTTTTTTTTTGCATCCGATAAATTTTTTATGCACAGGATTGCACAGCCGCGATATCCGTTGTATTTTTAAATTTTGAACGGATATTCCATATTGTCACAAGTACTCAAGTACTTGATTCTGGAACATATTTTCTCTTGAAACATAGCTTACTATTGTTAGGTATTATAAAAAAAAAAAAAAAAATACAGAGGAGACGCCGGACTGGACATGTGGTACCCTCGTGTAACACTGACTCAATAAGCCCACTTTTTGAAGAACAATCCCCAGATATTGCAGTAGCCGTATTTTACTGGTACTGTATATTACAAAGTTCCCGTTTTGTGCTTTGTTCACCCTCAAGTACTTTTTAAGCCATGAACTAGAACCCTTTTAGACGTTCACCCTTGGCCTTTTTAAACCCTCCCCGTTTCCGTCGTTGAACATTTTAACCCAAGTAGACGCTTTAACCTTAATAATAGACAGGAACCTCTTTTACCGCCTGCGGAAAATATTTCTCTCTCAGTTTCCCATTCTCAAAAAGATCACCAAGGAGCTGTGCAGCCTTGAATCTTCATTCTCAAGCCATATACTATTTGTTTGATACAAATTATATTGGCCCTTTAACCCTTTTACACTCTATTTCGTTTTCTTCCTTAGACACTTTTTTTTTTCCCTTCCTTTAAAATTTTTTTCTTTCCTTCTTTCTTTTTTCTTTTTCTTTTTTTTTTTTTCCGTGAAGGACATCTAAAAAGTAAAAATGAACACAGTAGTAGACAGCACAATGAAAACCCCAGCGGAGCAAGTCGACGACCTCAAATATTGGCTAGCTACCGCACCAGTTAGCTGGGATCCGGACCAGAATATTCGTCGTTATCTCCTCCCCACAGGTGAATATATTTCATGCGTCCTCTGGAATAGCCTCTACCACATAACGGGTACGGATATTGTACGGAGTCTGGTATTCCGCTTTCAAGCTTTCGGTAGACCCGTGAAAAATATTAAAAAGTTTGAAGAAGGGGTGTTCAGTGACCTACGAAACCTGAAACCAGGCATGGATGCTTCGCTCGAAGAACCAAAGTCAGAGTTCCTCGAAATGTTGTACAAAAACAATTGCATACGTACACAGAAGAAGCAGAAAGTGTTCTACTGGTTCTCCGTGCCACACGACCGTCTATTTTTGGATGCACTAGAGCGTGATTTAAAACGGGAAAAAATGAATATCGAACCTACCACCGTTGCCGAAGCAGAACCCGCCCTCTCTTTCTCATTTGACTCCACACAATCATTATATGACCAATTTGCCAAGGGTATGTCACCGAATTCATCTGCACCCTCTTCACCGCAACTTCGTAGTTTAATGTATGACCCAGTTCCCCCCATGGCGCCCGCAATGATCAAGACAGATGATCCTTCGGGCGTTTTGTATTCTCTTGACCAAGAATCGATGGGTAACTCGAATTCTACTCAACCTTCCCTAGGCACATTTGCTCTATTTCAACCGATTCCGCAGTGCGATACTGCTTTGGTAAAAACACAAATGTATCCATCACCGGACCTAAGTTATTGTTCAATGGATGAGCTTCCAAAAGGGTCATTCGAGGCCAATTCACCTCAAGAGTATTTCGTTTCCGATTCACCGTGGAGTACCTCGACGTTGGACGATCAATATGTGGATAGTCGACACTCATCGCCCGATGGATTCTCTCAGGCGATTGTTCCTTCATCAAATGCCTATAACAATAATTCTAACGTTGCAACAGCCGCTGCCGCCGCCAATCTGTTTGGCATGATTTCCATTTTCGGGGGAGCACCAACGTACAAGCAAAGGAGAAGACGCGCCAATTCGTGTACAAATGTGAATAACAATAGCAATCCACCTTCACATCGGTCCAATACGACTCCTTACCCCCTCAAAACCTACACATGCCCACTTCAAACATGCGGTCGTCTATTCAAACGTCTTGAGCACTTGAAACGTCACGTTCGCACACACACCATGGAAAGGCCTTATTCCTGCCATGTTTGTGGCAAGAGATTCTCCCGGTCCGATAACTTAGCACAGCATCGCAAGACCCACGAGCGCAGTCTCAGTAACTCCCCACCGCCTTCTGATGATGGTTCCTGTAGTTCCGACCTTGGTTATGATGAAGGCATAGTTAGCGATTGCTATACTTATGACAGTCCCGATCACATTCCACCTACCTGTACAGACGGCCTCGCTGTCTACACCACCGAACACTCAAATTATCCGATTTTTAGTTTGCATCCCGCTGCGTACCTAGAAGGGAGCACTGGGAACGGGATAATTGTTTAACAACATCACCTTTCTTCCGAGTTCCCGACTGTGGGTTTTTTTTAATTTTCATTTTCCTCTTTAAATTTTTATTACTTTTGGTGTATCTACGTGCGGGAACTGATTGAGCGAATCCTACTTATATGTATACATACACACAAAAAAAAAAAAAAGCAAAAAACACACACATATATATTATAATTGGGTGGAAAAAAAAAGGACCGGACTTTATTATCGTTACATGTTTTTGACGTCTATTTAATAACATTCAAATCTTGGGTTATATACATACTTCTTTTGTTAATATTTTTTTTTTTTTTTTTTTTCTCTTCAACAAAAAAAAAAGAGATGCCGGACGTCTTCTTTTTTTCTTTTTTTTTTTTCTTTCACACAATTCTTTTTTCCCTTTTTTTCTCACAACCACCTCAACATTGCCTCGCACCATTCCGCAACGGGGACAATTTATTAAGGCCAATCTGTTCTTTTACATTGACGGGTGTTCATGACCAGGATGCTGGCATACGTTTCAATGCAAAACGAAGAAAAGGGAAACGACGGGTTCGTTGCCTTCCCCATCGTTGTGATTATTTTTATTCCTTCTTTCTTACCCCTTTTATCCGCAAAAAAAAAAAAATTCATTAAAAACGACCACTTTTTTTCCAAAAGTACTTATTTCCCTTTTCACCTTCTCACTTAATACCTTCCTTTTACTCTTCACTCCGTCACGCTTGTGTCGTGACACTGTAATATATATTTCCTTTTTTTTTTTTTTTTTTTTCCAACTTTTTCTTTTTAACTAATTGCTGGTCAGTTTTTCTGCACTAACCCCTTAAAAAAAAAATGAAAAATTTTTTTTTTTTTGTTTGCTTGAAATGTTCCCTCTTACAAGGACTTTTCCCGGTTACCTTAATTCTTTGTCCCATATAGCAGCCACGATTTAATCCTCCTTTCTTTTGTTTTTGGGGGGAAACTTGCGGAACCTCGACGGTGTGCTCGTCCGATCATAGCATTCGGATCTACCTTAACAGGATTTTCTGCGATCCTACCAAAAACAAACAAAAAAAAAAAAAAAATTTAAATAATAATAAAAAAAAAAAAAAAAAAAAAAAAAAAAAATGATAAAGATAGATACATATGTCTTTTCCAAAAATCGACAATAAGTGTTACCTTGACCAACCACAATTTTCAAAACCAACCCATTCTGTGCTTTCTCTTTTTCCTTTTTCCCTTCCCTTCAAAGTTTGACGAGACAATAAACAAGAACTCCATGATCTTCAGCGTTCAATTCGGGGAAAGGGGGATTAGTTTTCTGGAAAAAGAAAAGATCCATCATTGTTTATATTTATGATATCTGTTCATTCTCATAGACTTTATGGTATATAGAGAAAAATTTTTAAGAAAAAAATTGCTTCATTTTATGTCTTTTTATTAAGCCTTTATTTCCCTTGCAAAGGTTTCTTTAGAAAGGAGGTAAATTCGACAAAGAAATAAAAAAATTGTGCTGAACCAGGATTAACATCGAATTCTGAATCCTGGATTATTTCAAAGCAACAAAAAAAAATAAAATTTCCTTGAAAAAAAAAAAAAATTCGCATTTGCTCGTCTGATAATCTCGTGACTATGTGATCGATCTCGTGTCGCATATTTTGTGCATCCTTATTAAATATGAGATAAGATACTTTTTTCCGGAATCTCAAATGTTCTTCAACGATCCTGACAATGTGGACAGAGAAGCTGTCGAACAAGAGGCCAAGGTTCGACGGTATAATGAGGCTAAAATTTTTTGTTGCATTTAGCGTGTCGAGAAACCTCCATTGATCAGCATGCTTCCGTGTTTGTCGACTTCAGCATTTTCGCAAGGTACTCAACACCTTTGCCCTATACAAGAAGCACGCCTTGTCTACCAACAATCGTCGCCGAAACGACTACCACTCGCTGTCCGAACGTCATAAAGCCTTGATACCAGAGTATCTGGAAAGGTTAAATAGCATAGACAAAGCAATTTCGAAAAATTATCACGTCTTGAAACAGATTCTAGCCGATGGTAGAATTTTTGCTGGAGAAGAAAAGGTATTACCCAGGTTTCTCGAATTTTGCCTACTCTTTTATCTTTTTCTGATGAACTTATCTTTCGATTATTTATGAGTTAGGATGAGCCCAATTCTAATTTGAACAACAACGATGATCATAACAAGGGGTCAAGAATTTCCCAGGTTACCGAATTTGATATGGATAAGTTGAGAAGCACAATTAAACAATTTTTAAGGGAATGGTCGTCAGAGGTGGGGTGACTTTTTTTTTTCTCTTTCTTCTAATCAGAATCTGGAAATTGTTTAAAAAGAGAAGAATTCTTCTTTTTAAAAAACCCTTTTTTTCGACATAGGGCAAACCAGAAAGGGATGCTACCTATAAACCACTCCTTGAAGCATTAATCGATCACTATAAAGATGTTCCTATTGAGAAAAGGTGCGTGTCACATTGGTCGTTTTTGACTACGTTATTAATATCTTAGTATTAATTTCAAGACCACCAAATTATTGATACACAGGCCATCTATAAAGGTGTTGGTTCCCGGAGCCGGTTTGGGCCGGTTGGCCTTCGACATTGTTACACAAGGTATGCTACATCATCATTTTAAGATATACGCATTTCTGTGATGGAGTTTGATCTATTTATTTTTTGTTTCGTTGTGTAGGCTTTAGTTGTCAAGGTAAATATAACTGATTGATCGCGAAGCCTTTTTTCTTTGTCGATAACAACAATGATAAGGATATTCATGATTTAAAATTGTGCGCCGCCAGGAAATGAATTTTCGTTTTACATGGTATGCCAAACTTAGGTTTTGCTTTTTTTTTTTTTTCTTCTTTCGAGATAAAAGAAAGTTGGGACAACGTTGCTAATGGGTGGCAATACGTATCAGCTATTGTCGTCGCATTTCATTTTAAACAGGTATGCCCACGCGTTATCAGTCATATCTTGATTCCCTGGATTGATCTTTCTTATTTGCGTTACCCAGGGTCGAAAGAATCCACCAATACGAGATTTACCCTTTCATTCATTCCTTTTCAAACATCGTTTCGTCCGATGATCAACTACGGCCTGTGTACATTCCGGATGCATTGCCAAGCACTGTTCCCGCGGATTCTAATTTCTCGATGGTCGCCGGAGATTTCGTGGAGGTATATGGGGAGGATCAACACATTGGTATTAATTGAAAGTTGCATGAAGAGAAAATGTCGATTGACTTTGTAACTTAAATTATTTTATTATTTGAATAGGGCAATGGGATTGTATAGTGAGCTGTTTTTTCATTGATACGGCCAAAAATATTTTAGAATACATTGAAATATTTCATCGTATACTGAAACCAGGCGGACTGTGGATTAACATTGGTACGATCAATTTATAAATAACCTTATGTGACTTATCAATAACATTCTTCTTATTCTCCGTTTATTATTATTGTTATTTTTTAGGACCCCTGCTATATCACTACGAAAATTCACCCGGCGAGATGTCAATTGAATTAAGTTTAGACGAAGTGAAGAAAGTAGTGAAGGACTTGGGATTCCAATTTCAAGTTGGTTTCACCCGCAACCCTTTTTTTCTTTTCACGTTCTTTAAATCTCAATTAAAAAAAAAAAAAAATTTTTTTTTTCTTATAGGATGAGAAAACAATTAAAACCACATACACGGCGAATGTGAATGGAATGCTTAAATATTTGTATGAGTGTGCTTTCTGGACCTGTATTAAAAAATAACATTCGTTGAAATCTCAATAGGTTTATTAATTAAAATATATACCAGTATACACGGTACATGGTTTATACTGTTTTTATTGTATATATTAATTTTAATTAATAAATTAAAAGATTTATGGCAACAAACAAGCAAGGTAAATGTTGATAATGAAATTTGATATAATTACTGTTGATCAGGTTAATAAAAATATATTTATTGAATTTTTATATAGATCAATATCGATCTGGATTTATATGTAGTATTAGTCTAGATCTAATTCAACATTCAACATTGCAAAACTTGACTCTTCTAATTGTACCATTATTCTCAATTCTTTGCTATAAAACATCTATACTTGACTAATAGTATAACTAGTAATTAGATATTGTTTGCTTTTTTTTTTTTTTTTTTTCTTTTTTTACTAGGTTTTTTCAAAATATGGATCTATTCATATGGTTTGTTATTTTTGAAGGCGACCAAAATACTGAAAATAATTTTTTCGGTTTCCATTTTTTATTTAGGATCACGATTATAGGGTCCGAAAAATCCCTGTCCGCCTTCGAAAATAGTTACCCATTTTTCTACATATCTATTTACAAGATTTTACAAAAACGTCAATTATAAGAAACTTATCCTTATAACTTGTTGCTTTTTTTTTTTTGGAAGAGTGCTAATGTGCCTAGGCTCTATTAGCATATTTTGTCAAAAGATCAAAAATATTGTAGATGCCAGAGAGAAGTGTTATGAAACTTAAAGTTATTAAAACAATTGAATTAAAATCCATTTAATATAATTTTAATAAAATTATTTTTATTGAATATTTTGAAATTTATCAAGATAATCAGTATATTGTTATAGTTATTAAATATCTTATTAAGTAGTCTAAAGCCAAAGTTCCTAAAAATATTAAAGTTTATACCATTATAAAATTCATATATAAAAATATTAAAGTTCATACCATTAAAAAAAAACTTTTTTCATTGATCCCCTTTTTCTTTAAAATTTTTCTTTTATTGATAATTTCTTGAAAAAGAGAAGCCAGCCCAACACATTTTATTCTTCAAAGATATAAGACTTAATAACAAACTATAACATTCAGCCACTTTCTCAAAAATTACTTTATCAATCAAGAGAAGTATAGATAGCATAACATCATTTTAGTTCTATTTTACTTTACTTTACAAGAAAAGGAAAACATACCTATAAGCTGATTTACAGTAAGTTTAAGAAAGCTCAATATCAACTTCTCAAGCTTCTAATCAAATCAATATCAGTTTATACCTTTCTAGGCACTAGAAGAAACTTTATAAACAATAGTTCTTACCGATAAATAAAAAAAAACTCAAAGTTCATAAAGCTCAAAAGGACATCAAAGCTTTCAAGGACTAAACAATAAAGTATTCTAATTTCATACACACCTGCCTAAGTAATAAAACAAATTATATGAACATGTATATGTCAAATAAGTTAGTATCAAAACAATATAACAAGGTTTATCAAGGGTCTATAAACAAATGGTTCATCCTTCATAATAAATAAGATCAACAATTATTTCAGTAAACAATCAGATCAAAACAGAAAGAATCAATAACTTATTTGAGTAAACAATATTTCAAATAAAACAATAAACAAGCAATTTTACAAATCTTGCTAAATACTGTATAAATAAATAAAATAAATAAATAAAACAATAAATCAGCAATTTATTCTTTTTTATACATGACAAATATGACAGTGGAATAAAAAATTATGCAAATTATGAAGAAGAGAAAGCTCCATATCTTTAATACAATAGTCAAAATAGTAGAAAAGCATGATCAGAGAAAAGAAACATGGATTATCCAAATTATCTTTAACACCCTCACTATACAAAACAAGTTCAATCAAATATTAAGATCAGTAGAATACTTGATACTTGATAATATTTTTGCAAAAATTCTAAATGTAAATCCAACTATATTCATTAAAGTTGAAATTCTCAAACAATATATTCTATATCTATGAAAATAAGATTAAGGAAAAGAAAAAAATCTTATGACACTCTTCTTGAAAGAAAAAATCAGATACATCTTGAAACAAAATACTATTACAAATAGTTTATCTTATCATATTTCTGAAATTTTCCAGACTAAGAATAAGTTCACAAACTCTATAATAAGAAATTAAATTTCAAATAAGAATATCTCTTCAAATGAGGACATGAAAGTTCAATTAACAATTGATATTAAAATTTCAAAGAATACTAAAATCGAAATAAGTAATAAAGAATTGAAGAAAAAGCTTGAAAAAAAACTTGAAATAGAAACTATTTAAGAAAGAGTTAAAGGAAAAAATATAACAAAACAGATCTCCTACAATATGGATAATTATTTTTGAAAGTATTAAAAAGATTAATTAAAAATTTTCAGTGACCTTTTTTTGTGATACATAATTTTTGATATTCTTTTTTATATCTCTTTTTATATTTAGTAATTATTAATTCTTGATTATTAATTATTAATTATTAATTCTTGATTATTAATCTTAATCATT